CGTCTATCTATCGGTGTTGACAGAAAACAATTACAGCAGAGACAAGTTTTTCGATCTGTGGGCGTATGTGTGTAAGAAAAAATCAACGGATATTTTAAATTAGAAAGACTGCACCCCACATCATTTGGTATTTATATATACATTATTCCAGAATTAGGGTTTATATATATATAAATACAATTCCTAAAAAAGCAACGTATATATATATATATATGAACCAGTGCTTAGTTGGAAGCCAAATCCTTTTCGGAAAGAAGCTTTTAATGCTAGGGTTTCAATTTTAGGAATTGTATTTTAATTGCTTTTCTTGAATTTATATATTGAAGACTTGATTATTGTGTGACTGAATTAAATAGAAGATTAATTAATGACCTTACACAGTATTAAATTTTTTATTTGTATTATTTCCTTTAATTCCCCTTGTTTTATCAAAACTAGCATTTTTTTCCCTTGCCATGTATGGAATAGCATTTTAAAAATGAAAATAATAATTAGTTAATACATGAAAATAAAAATTATAATAAAATTTATTACTATCGGTAATAGCGTTTAATATATATACAAATTGAATAATGCAAACTTATTCCCCAAAAAAAATATATATAATTAATTGTCATAATATGAAATTGATCAATAAATAAATGAAACAAAGAAGAATTACAGAAAATAGACTGGATAATAGAAGATAAAAATAATAATAACAATTACAAAAATATAGTGTTGTGGATCAGGACTGTGCTACTCGAGATTTGGTGTACAAGTAATTGGAAAAAAATATTGTTTTTTTTTACAAATATGACATAGGGTTTCTTAGGTTGCTGCAACGTTTCTTTCTTTTATATATAAGATATAAGATATATTTTTTAAAATATTAAATAAAAAAGAAGTCGGTAACCTCGAGGTTGTATTATACAGTAGAACCTCGATAAATTAATACCCCATAAATTAATAACCACACTTAAATAATATTTTTTCCCGTTCCTGACTCGGGGACAAAATGCTAAACTATAATTCGCTAAAGTTATAAGATAATACACATTCAAAAATTTTAAAAAAAACCCCGTATAATATATTATAAATTAATAACGCATAAAATAATTCTTAAAATTACATAGTACAATACATTTTTTTTAAGATCTATGAAGGCTTAATAAAATATGATTTAATTGTCGGTTCTTTCTTGTTGAAGTTCACATCACCATAAATCTCGTCCCTCGTTTTTCTTAACGTGGTTATAACTTCTGGTAGGGGTGCAAGTTGGAACGGAAATTCCGATTTCCGCCGATTCCGATCCGAAAAGTTCCGATTTTGGAACAACTTTTTTCATTCCGATTTCCGAAATTCCGATTTCCGATTTTTTCCGATTTTTTTGGAATGAAATTGGAATTATATAAAAAGAAATTGGAATTTTCGATTTCCGATCCGATTATTTCCGAAATTAATTCCGAAAAAATTCCGATTTATATATATATATATATATATATATATATATATATATATATATATATATATATATATATTATACTTATTTTACATTATTTAGTTGTATTTATTCTTTATGGGCCATGTCACCTAAAAAAATCCTAGTTTATTTTATGTAAAACCCTAGTTTTACGTTTATTATTTCTTGTGCAAAGCCGATGAGTTTATTTAATTTTTGCTAGAAGTTTTATTGGATATTATGATGTCGTTTATTTTTATTTGTTTTTTGAATTGAAATTTAGTAGTTATTTTTATCGACGTTGATGTTTTTATTTTTAGCAAATTATGAAATTTTCAGCGAAGTTTCGAAATTTTAATACTTATGTCATTTCCGAAAAATTTCCGAAATTCCGAAATTTCCGGGCCTTTTGGAATTGGAATGAATTTTTAGATTCCGAAAATTTTGGAATTGGAATTGGAATTGATTTTGTACTTCCGAAATTTTTTGGAAATATTCCGAAAAGGCTAATTCCGATCCGATCCTTCCGACTTTCAGCCCTAACTTCTGGTATAGTTTTCTCATAATTCAACAGAAAATTGTTCAATGACGACGTTGTTGTCTTAAGAGTTTATGTCCGAGAAACCGGCTCTATAGTACATGGAACTAATGGTACAATGAATAATATATACGTAAAAAAAATTTATTTGTTGAAAATAATAATAAACATAATTTCATAAATTAATAAGTTATTTATTAATGTATAAATTAATAATTATTAATTTATTGATAAATTAAAATTTCGCTAAATTTTTAGGATTGTGATGGCCCCCCGTCTGTATTAATTATAGCAGTGTTCTAAAAATCAGTCGAGCCGGCCGATTAATCGGTCTCCGAGGCGGAGGCGGTCTAAAACCTTTGATTTTCGTGTAAATGTTTGAAAAATCAGTTTTTGCCTGCGAGACGATTTTAGGCGGTTCGAGGCGGTCTGAGGCGGGTTGAGGCGGTCAAACCTTGGAGCAGGGGTAAAACTTTGATGGCAAAATCAGTCAAAAAATAGTTTTTTTTGTTAAATAAAAAAGTTGCGGTTTTAATAAATAGTGAGTTTATGCTTTGTTTTATTTTGTTAATAATTTTTTTATTTTTAAAGGACCTAATAATATATGCTTGAATGCTCAATTATAATTCTGGATGCACAAGATTTTCGTTTAATTTTTATTTTATAAGAATTTTTATTATATTATGTTATTATTATTAAAAAATTATTATGTGATTATGATATATAGATGATGTGTATAAACTCATGTTTAAATATATTTATATATATGTTGAGTATTTACAAAAATATCTAAATTATATTTTATTAAAATTAAAAATCGATTTATTTCCAATTTAACGCCGATTAATCATCGTCGCAGATTATTCGTGAGGTAGTGCCTAACCGACTCAGGTGCGATTCCCATCTTTTGCAACCTTGAGTTATAGAGGTTTAACTGTATATAGATATTTAATATCATCAATTCTAAAATCTAAACAAATCATCCTAAAACTAATTCTCTTTGAGGAAAAATAAATTTCAAATACTAAAAAATCACCAATAATATAATAATTACACGATAATACAAAGAATTAGGTAAAAGTCCCCCAAATGTATAGTTTTATCACTAATAAGAACAAACTTAATTTTTTTTCTTTTTTTTCAATAAAAGTCCCTCTTGGTTCATTTTAAAAAAATACCCCCATATTTTTATAAACTAAAAGTATTTGTGAACAGATTGGCGGCGAACCACAAGCTATAAATTAACACCCATTTTCAGAAGTTTACCATTACTTTTATATATAAAAGAAATGTTTGCCCCGAAACTCTAGAAGCATGTTTTGTTTTTAAATATTTCTGGAAAATATTTATTTCTTTTATTTTCTCATTTTTTACGTCACATTCAAAATTATTTTTTTTCTTCCTTTTTTTACCTTTCCCCACTAAACACGGTCTATTTTTTTTCACATTTTTTAATTTTTAAGTATTTTCTTTTTATTTTTCTCTTCTTTTTCTTCTTTTTTTCTCTTCGAGCACTAAATTTCTCTCCTTTTCTATAGGACATGTTTTTTTTATTATTTAGTTTTTTCTTTTTTTTCTTTTTTTTCTCCTTCCCCACTAAATACGAGCAACTATGATTTTTTTTTTTCACGTTTGTTTTTTCTTTTTAATTATTTTCCTTTTCTTTTTTTCTTCTTTTTTTTTTCCCTTCCGGCAGTAACTTTTCTCTCTTTTTTTATAGCACACGTATGTGTATTAAATTTTGTTTTTAAAATAGATATATAAATTATGATTGCAATTAGTGGAATTTTTACATTTTCGGTGTTCCATTGTCTTGCTATTGTACATGTCATATGTGTTTACTAATTTCTAATTTTTCTTATCTTTTATTTTTTTTTCAATATCCACCTGTGTTAACATACGAGGCAAAATACTAGTAAAATCTAAAATAAATCGTTATATTTTTTATAATTTTATTTATTAAAACCCTAAGGCATATTCTCATCGTGTGGAAAATAGATTGAATACTCATAAATCTTCAAAAATATCATTATTAGAGAAGTCACAACAATATTGTGAATTAGCTAAAGGATCTTACAAATTCAAAAAATAAGTTGTGGAGAGCTTATAAGATCTTTTTTAGGATCTTAAAATAATTCGTAAAAGAAACTAAGAAGCTCATTATCCAAACACTCTAATTTAAAAAATAAGATGCAATATTTCATCGGCTCTTAAAAAAATTTATCAGGTAAAGTATAAGGACTTATCTAATATTTAAAATAAGCTTAGTCAACACACTCTATATCTTGTATATGATCATATATTCAATTAGTGTAGATGTCGATAGTAAATATCACTTTTAACTAAATTACTATATATACGTCGACGTGCATGTTACTATTGGGAAAAAAATGAATTTTGATGAATACTTAAGTAAGTTAAATGTATAGAATATATACCTTATTAGAGCAACTCCAATGGACAAGTATCACAATGGAATATCAAATACTCATTTGAACTTCTTATATATATTATTTTGATACCTCTTTAAAAGTTTTTTACTCCAACCATAAACATTAAATAGATTATCAAAAAGTTAAATATATGAATAATTATATTTTTAAATAACATGTGTCAACTCATGATAGGTTGATTGAGTGGTTACGATTTTGATACTTCACTTTTCGGGATCCATTTTTGCACCTCCAGGATATTGAGTATCAAACTAACCATCAATTTTATGCCTCCATTGGAGTGGAATATTTTAAGTTTTGGGAATGAAAATGGAAGTTTTATCATTTGATACTCCATTTGATTCCCCCATTGGAGTTGCTCTTAGCTCACAAAATATAAATACTTATATTATTAATAAGCATAAGAGAGTAATATTGCTTTGAGAGAAGTGGAAATTTATAGAGCCGAAAGCTTCTTTCATACACACAAACTTAAGAAAAATGGAGAAATTGATGTCCAACAAATTCGCTCGTGTAAAAACCATTGTCCATTATTATGTATCGAGAATCACAACTACCCCATTAATAA